TGGTTACTTGCAGGTTTCCTGTATGTTCTGTCTAGTAATCTTTTGTTGACTTTGACATTGTCAATATCTTCTACAAATCTGTTCACTTTGATTATAAAGTCGTTTGATAAATAGAAATACTTAATTTTGATGTAGTAATATGCATCAATTTTTTACTACATGGTTTATTTTGGAGGGTTTAATAAATGTTTCTTCACCTCAGTTCAGAAAAATATTCTCCAGCACTTTCTTCTATTAGCTTTATAGTTTTAACTTTCATATTTAGTTCTTTGATCTATCTGGAGATTACTTCTATTATGGTATTTAGTAAAAATCCAGCTCTTTCTCCAAATAGTCAACTCGTTTTTCCAAACCCAACTATTAATCCATTTATTTCCCACCAGTTTATCATGCCACCTCTATTGACTACCAGGCTCCCATATATATATGAGTGTATTTAAACTGTTTAGTTCCGTTGAGCTTTGCTCTTGTATCTGTGTAGGACCTCACCATTTTCATTGCTATGGCTTTGCAGTGTGTATTGAGCCCCCTAATTTAGATCTCCTTCTTAAAAACTGACTTAAGGCCAGGTGCAGTGGCTCACACCTATAATCCCAGTACTTTGGGAGGCCGAGGCGGACAGATAACCTGAGGTCAGGAGTTTGAGACCATCCTGGCCAACGTGGTGAAACCCCATCTCTACTAAAAACACACAGAAAAATTAGCCAGGCATGGAGGCAGGCGCCTGTAATCTCAGCTACTTGGGAGGCTGAGGCAGGAGAATGGCTTGAACCTGGGAGGCGGAGGTTGCAGTGAGATGAGATCACACCATTGCATGCATTCCAGCCTGGGCAACAAGAGCAAGACTCCGTCTCAAGAAAAAAAAAAAAAAGAAAAGAAAAAAAAAAAGAAAACCTGACAAATCAAAACAAGCCTTAATTCTTCCATATGAGTTGTAGAAGATATAAAAAAAAAATCCTGTTGTAATTTCAATTATAATTGCACTGAGTTTGACTAATTTGTTGAGAATTAAATTCTCTACAACATTAAATCATACCATCTGTGATCATATTATATCTCTTTGGTTTATACAATTTTTTCTTTATGGTCTTTAACAGACCTTTGAATTTTTCTCCAGAAAGGTCTTTATATTTTGGTGGCTAATTACTAAAGATTTTTGTTTTGTTTTGCTATTATGAATGGTATATATATTTTAAAACTTATATTTGCTAGTTGTAATCACTGGTTTTAAGAAATGCTATTGATTTTTTAGACTGAAAAATGTTATTACATAATATGATACCTACAAAAGAATGCATGTAACATATATGTATGCTATTAAGCAGATTAATAAAATAAATACTCGTGAACCCACAAACCTGCTTAAATAATTGAAAATCCCAATAATATTGAAGCTTCCTGTGTGTCCCTTCCTGATACATCCCCATTTCTCCTCTCCAGTAGTAAATACTACTTTACTTTTGCTTTTTTTTAATAGTTTTATCACACGTCTTTATATTCTTAACATATTATTTAGTTTTGCTCATTTTGGACCTTTATAAAAAATGTTATCCTACTGTAAATAGTCTTTGGCAACTAGCTTTTTTCCAATCCACATTATGTTTTTAAAATTGATCCATCTTGAGACATATAGCTTTTATAAATGTTCTTTCTTATTTTCATTAGTTTTTGTCTGTTATTTTTTCTTTTTTCTTTTTTCTTTTTTTGTTTGTTTTTTTTGAGACAGTCTCGCTCTGTCATCCAGGCTGGAGCGCAATGGTGCGATCTTGGCTCACTGTAACCTCCGCCTCCCA